ACACCAGAGGGTTAGCAGTGGAGCGCAGGTAGTTTAGTGGAAAAAAGTGTTGCATTTTTCAGTCTAAAAATTTTTGCCTAAAAAACAGGACACATATAAACATTCATATCGTATATAATTTTCATACTCATGAAGAATAATTATATGATCTCTTGTTTTGCTTTTCAGTGTAAATATCCTTTCAATTCTCGACACATTATTTCTTTTGAATGAGTTTTTTGTTTTGTTAACACTTTTCTTGAAACTTCCCTTTTATGCGATTGTGTCGACACTAAAGGCTTGAATTGTGTGCATAAGAAGTTGTCTCGATATCTGATGTCTTTGTCTTTAGTTTCACTCGAGAGAGAGAGAGAGAGAGAGAGAGAGACGAGATCTGTATCCACTTATGTATTCATGAGATGTGTATCCAATTCGTCATTCAATTTGTTCACTCATTTGAATTCATTTCGTATTTGTTTTTAATTATAAACGACTCGTGAATATGTATTGTATTTAAATATATGTATGAAAATTATATACGATATGAATGTTTATATGTGTCCTGTTTTTTAGGCAAAAATTTTTAGACTGAAAAATGCAACACTTTTTTCCACTAAACTACCTGCGCTCCACTGCTAACCCTCTGGTGTGTATATAAAGGATTTTTTATGAACAAATATTTCAAATAACAATATACATTATAATATAATTTCTATTAACATATAAAAAAGTGGTATTAAATTCACAGCTAATACCGTATACCCGTAATAATATACACAGGTATATAATAGCTTCGAAATGCACTTAAATACAGTGAAACCTCCCGGTGCTGCTGGCCGTGTCATGCTCTAGAAATTCAAAGTTCAGTTTCAAAGCTCAAACACCAGACAATAAATTAATAAAATAAAAAAAGTATTTTTTTGTGTGATATTATATTATACAATAATAATATAATACAATACATACAGAATATTATATACAATACAATAATAAACAATAGGATTGAGGGATCAGTGCGAGAGAGAGAGAGAGAGAGACTAAGAGATGGTATAATTTTTTACACTCAAAAGATTGTAATATAAATTTTTGTTGGCGTTTCAAACGTCTATTCTCTTAATTCAATATAACAATAATGAATGGATTTTTATAAATAAAAATGTTGTTCAAAACATTTTTGCTTAGCTCTGAATATAAGCAGAGAGAGAGAGAGAGAGAGAGAGAGAGAGACTTGTTTTTTCACCCATCATATTGAGTGGAGTTGTGTTTGTTGGCAGAGAGTGTTTAATATTCATTAAATATTTTTTTATCATTAAAAAATAGTCATTAAATTAAAAGTTTGTAAAACTATGGGAGAGAGGGAGAGGAATGGGAGTTAGAGAATGAGGTTTTATATGAGAAACTCATTTTGCTGTCAATTGTCTTAATTCACACTAAAAAACTTTTCCCAATCATCTCGTGAGTGTATATAAACTTTCATTGCATTAAGAATTTATGAAAAACTAAAACTCAAAAACACACAACAAATTCTCGCCATTCAATTGTGTGTAGCAAACGATTTCCACAATTGATTTCAATTAGCAAATTGTGGAAAAATATTTTTTATCTCAAACCCATTAAACGTTTGAAAAAAATTTCTTAAATGAGATACTCGTAAAAGTAAATAACATTTATATATAAATTGCAAAACATTTTCAATTCCCTTCCAGACATAAGTAGACTAAATACGAAAAACATGGAAATTGAAGTCAAGTTTTTATGTGGAAAAACAGTTTTTTAGTCCAACAAACATAACATGAATTTTAAATTAAAACCCATAACATAAATAAATATAACATTTTTCATCAAAAACATGTCTTACGTGTGGAAACATTTGGTTTCTGGCGATCGGTTGGCGAAAAACTTTGAGACCATCTGAGCTGAGACCTACTGGTGCTCGTCGTGGTAGTCGATATAGTGGTAGGCCTCTCACGGCTACCTAATATCACATCTGAATTTTTGTTATAACTTTTATGACAATTATTATTAATGGCATTATTATTGTTATTATTATTAATAAGCGATATATTTGCTGAACATTTACTACGAAGCGATGCCATTAAGTCTTGTTTTGTGTAATCATTAGTTACATAATAATAATCGTCTCAAACACTCGTTAATATAGTTTGTGTTGTTTTGCAGATAATATTTTGCAATAATTATAATATTACCAACCATTTGATAGCGAGCTATAAATGGGAAACAAAAGTAGTTTTTTAAAAAACAAATTAAATAAAATATTAATCGTAAAGCAAATATTATATAACACTTGTCTTACATAAGTTACTAATGAAAACACATTTATAACAGATAGCTTGCAAAAAATATTATATACAATATACTGTATACATGAGTGTTATATAAAACATGCGACCAAATAAGTATATTTATAAATTTAATAATCAAATAATAAATATTTACCCAAAAGACTGCAAATTAAACGGCAATTTTCTGCACCAATATCTCTACAGATTTGATGCCTTTTCAAGAGTTAATACCATAAATATCTCGATGTTTTGGTCACGAAGTTGAACATGAGGTGCACACGATTTTCATTAACATTCAAATCAATGCATACTATCATAAATCCTACGGACGGAAAACAATACACACGAGTAGTGGTAAAAAATTATTCATTTGGAAACACAAACTTTTTGCGATTATTAAATGTTTGCAGCATTTAAACAAAAAATAAAATCCATACATAGATTCTACACACTTGTATGCATTGGTGTTGTATATTAAATGACTGGCGAAATGGTTGAGCCCTACGAGAGAGAGAATACCTGGGCTTACATGTCATACATGTTTGGAATTATTATTAGCCGTATATTTAATAATTAGTCGACTCTTTCGGGATAACAAATGCAACACAAAAAATATTTTTGCGATACAATAAGAGTGGTGTATAATAGCGAGTGTGTGTTGTCTGCACAGGTAGTACTGGTTGAGTGGCGATGATAAGGCATTGGGAGCTGCTTTTCATAGCATATCATCCATGAGCCAGATATACACACCACCAGCGCTTATGTCTCACTGGATGTGACTCACAATCAAACAATTGAGTGACAATTCATATGAGGATTATCAGCGACTATGCGATAAAAAATTCATACAAAAATTGAATACATATTTCGATTTGTCTCGAGTTTTAACTAAACTTCATGTTTAGCACAAACACTGCGAGCACTGATGAATCCAACGAAATACATACATTTCCTTTGAGTTTGTGTATGCATTCAATGTGTGCGTCAAAATCAATACCAAAGATAGAGAGATAGGGAGAGAGAGCACGAGAAGAGAGACATTGAGGGAGACATTGGGAGAGAAGGAGAGAGACGGGAGAGAGAGAGAGAGGACTGTTGTTATTGTTGGTAGTCTTGTGTAATGTCTCGAAGGCCGGGCGCGAAGTGGAAGAACAGGTTTTGTTTTGGTTGTGGCAATCGGTGGTAGTTTTTATAGTCTAAGACCACTATTATTAGCCCCCTTTCCATATGAGATGAGAGTGGCTACAGGCGCTCATCGGAATCGCTTGTGATGTGTGCACACAAGTGATGGAAACCCCCCGTAAAACTCGTACTGAGCTCTCACTCTATGTGTTATTTGTAGTCAAACAGGAGAGACACCACCACTACTGCACAAACATAGTAGGCATCCCTTGGATGTGTGTGTTTGAGCCTTTCAGATGATACTATCTATCTATCAGTTCCAGTCGCTTCTCCAGCTTTTTTAGTGCTCTCTCTCTCTCTCTTTAGGGACCGTTTGCTCACAATTACTATCAGTTCTCTAGTCTAGACTCCCGATGCTCTCAATGACTGATTTGGCAAATTATAAGAGGATGTATGTGCTGATCCCTGTGCTCACACTACACTCATATTTTTATAGTAACTCATTGGCACTGCACTGTCATATATGTGTGCAGCTGTTACGGCGTGAGGGGCACTGGTATGCGAGGGGTGAGGGGTTGGGGACATTGGAATAGTTATGCGGATTATGTGAATGAATGAATGAACAGATGTTTTACACATTCAGTGGATATCTTATAACGAAATTTTCATTTCGTAAATAAGTAATAGTAGTAATAGTTATATAACTTATTGGTTGGGGGAAAGTGAGGGAACAGTATGTGGGGGACAGTCTGGCCAACACTCTATCACTTCATTTCAATGAATTTATTCAACAGTTATTCTCGAGATTAAAAACAAATTAATGTAAAATCTGCGGACAATGAGAAACAGTTCATTGATTCGTGATTTGTATTGAGTATTGAAATTAATTGTATAAAAACTTTTCAGTGGAGAGAGAGAGAGAGAGAGAGAGAGAGAGAGAGAGTTCTATGACATATAAGCATTTTATATTGTATTTCAAAAAGGTTCATTAAAATGTATTTTGAATTTTATTTTGTTTTATATTCAATGCTTTCGAAAGCAGTGTTTTTAGGCGTTTATTCCCATAAGTTGTCGGAAATCTGTGTTTGATATCTGTTTGCCATTTGAGACATTGTTTGAGTTCATATGTCTTATCACAACTTCCTATCCATTTCTGCGGGACATTAAGTGTCTGACACTTTTACCCCCTTTCCTATCATTTCAAATGAAGGGGACAGGAGGGGACTATCGATGCAATCCATACATTTTAGTGATGATAGCATACGATATGGTCTGCAAATCGCATAAACATATGGCTTAAGACTGGAGTCTTATGTCTTATATAAGACATTGATTGTCATTAACGGCAATAATAATAAGAGTAATAATAATAATAACGACAAAAATATGTGAGAAAATGCATAAAAACTAAAATAAAAAATCTTATAAAAAACTTCTTCTCACAGACATTACAACTGTTTTTATTGGCATTTATTTCGAGAGAGAAAATAAAACTCTGAGATTAAAATTGAAATAAAAATATTTTTATTTGCGATAACGAGGGGCCGACCCTTTTTTGTAAAGTTCGCACCGGTATTTGTAAAAGTATCGCGAAATTAGATATTCATTTCACATATTTATTAAAATCATGAGAACATTGCACTAATAATACAATTAAATTTTTATGTCACAAACATTTCTAAACAGATAAATCCCTATAGAGTTGCAGCGCATCGACATATCCCAGTCCCTTGAGATTACCGGCCCGGGGTAGTCGGCCCACCTCCACGAACCCGTACTTTTTACACACAGTAATACTAGCCGGGTTACTGCAAAACACCAGGTTCGTATACAGGGCCTCGTAACCGATTAACTTGGCGTATTTTATGACTCTTTCCATCATATAGTGGCCCAACCCGTGGCTCCGGTACTCCATTTTGACGGCCAGACCGCAGTTGGCTAAGTGTGCGCTCCGGCCGGGAAAGTTAGGCTTGATATAAAAGCCTCCGATTGTGCGGCGAGTGTCGACCAACCGAAACACAAAGCAATTGTGGGACAGAAAGTATCCGCGGAAGGACTCCTCGGTAGTGGTGTCTTGCGGGTAGGTCTTCCCCTCGTCCACAATCTCCTCCCATATCGTATACATGTCCCGAAAGTCCGTGTCGTCCCGGTATACGTCAAACTCGACCTCCAGTCCAGTCTTTGATAGTATGATGCGCTCCGGTAGGCCTTCAAATGTGGTCACTCCAGGCTTGCACTCAAATCCATAGGCAGTCGACATGTCTTTTATTGTGGAAATAATTTTTGAATTAAATTTTATTTTTTAATTGTGTCATTAGTTTGTGTTATGATTATGTAATTAAACGCAAAGTAATATATTAATTACATATTAATTGCTTAATAAATACCTGAATATTATGTCTGATTGTGTGAATGAATTTGGGAGAC